TGTTGTTGCCTGCATTTAATTTTAATATTAAAATTAAATTAGTGAGATTATATTTAAATATATCTATGTATATATTTAAATGAATTATTATTATTAATTGAATGTTAATATATTGTTATATATTAATTTATTTTAATTATAATAATAATCAATTAATTAAAATACCAAAAAGGGTGTGTTTGGTTGCAAGGGTGAACTAGGGTTGGAGCCCATGGCTATTCCTAAGTGGAATAAGGTTTTAATTGTTGCACTATGTAAGTGTACCTTAAAATTAAAACATTAAGAAAATTATTCATTCAATTAAAAACCCTAGCCACCCTATCTCTCTCTCTTTCAAGAAGAAAACTTTTCTTGTTCATCTTTCTTGATTCTTGAAGCCCTTAATTGTTCAAGCAAAATAATCAAGGGTTTTGCGAATTATTTTCCTGTGGACTTCCGTGAGCGCAATCCTACTTTGGATCGATTAGCAAAATCACGTGAACAGTAGATGGTGAACAGTAACTGTGAACTATAACCGTGAATAGTATGGTGAACAGTGTCTATGTCCGAAATAAGAGATATTCAAAGGTGCCTCCAAACGTATGTAAGTATTCTAATCCTTAAATGGATTTACTTTATACAGATTTTGTTTATAAACATGTAAACGGTATAATCTATACTCGGATCTTAGCAAAGAAAGTTAATTGATTTACCGATGGAATGTTTTGTTTTTCTGCTGCGTATGGTAGATCAATTACTTACAGTGGTATCAGAGCCTCGGGTATTAGATTACATTGTTTAATTGATGTTTGATAACAAGTGTATTTGTTTGATAAAATGTTATTGCATGATTTGAACTGATTTTTAAAATCTGGAAAAATTATGTATGTTGAATGTCTTAATTAATCAATTGATTAAATAATGTGTATTGGTTGGTTGGAATCTTGGTCGAATGTTTAAGCATTCGATTTGATTTGGATCTGTGTCATTATGTGAAAAAATGCAAAAGACATTACTATGCCTAATTCACTATTTTGCGGCGTTAGCCACGGCGAAATAACACTTCGCTGCGGCGAGATGAAAAAAGTAAATCTGGTCGGGGCAAAATAAAATGTCGGGGTGGCATAAAACTCTCTGGAACAATATGTGTTTTCTGGAAGTTCACGGTTGCCGCGGCAAGAAATCTACTATTCCATTTCTCGCATAGAGGTTAAATTGTAGTTTTTGAACCTTTAAAACCAATATTCATTCTGCACGTTTAAGGTAGTAACTTGATAATTCAACCCACCCAATTCAAAACTTGATTGTTTTTTAATGTATGCAATGTTCTTGTTTGGTAATTGCATGGTGCCCGGTACATGAGCCTTAGACCTATTGTTTACTGTTTATTGGGTTTGTTTGTAATTTTTATAAACAAATAGGACCCGAGTGTCCTGCCTCACTCTCTCTTAAATCTCCATGTATTTCTTCTCCTCATCTCACTCCTCTCGTATGTAACGCGAGGTTTCTATTTTATTGATGTAAATTATAATAGGATTTTTATTATAAAATACTTTGTAATGATCGTGAAGAAGAAACGAAGGAGCTATGAAGAGGAATAACTTGAAGACCCAAGATTTACTTTTAAACCCTAGGTTGACCTACCGATTCCTCTAGGCTCGAGGAAATCGGTTTTAGTGGGCCATGTACCGACACATTTTATTTTGTTTTGACTGCATGCTAAGGTTGAATGTTCAATAACATGACAAACAATGACATTCTAACAAGATAATAATCTGGTGAGACATTAAATAAAAACCCTCAAATAAGATATATTAAGTCACGTATGTCTTCCATCACCATGGTTTTAATCAAACCACTATTCATCAGAACCTTGTTTGCCACAGCAAATGGTACACTTCTACTAGTGGGAGGTTAAAATTCATTAGAGTTTTCCTTAATGATGATGGGTCAACTTGAAATGATAGTTTTGCTAGTTTGCCACAGTGAAGGTTGATAAACACGTCATCGGCATAGTAGAGAAGTACACATGTTGAGTGTACGTGGTGACATGTAGTGTCCACTCTACTGATACTAGGAATCACACTTGAGGACAACGGCTAGGCCGTTGGATTGTGTGATTGGCTTGTTGGCTTACTTCACATTTGAGGTTGGTAGTGGGAGCTATCAACTAGTGTGGATTAAGTTTGTTGGCCTACCTAATCAACCCATTTTGGCTTGTTTGCCACAGCCAAGGTTTGAAATGGGCTAGAAGGAATCTTAGTCCACTAGGAAAGCCAACGGGCTTTCCCGAGTTAATAGTGAGGGCTATTTGTAACGCCCACATCGAGGTACGTAGCTTTACATATTCCTTAATACCCTTAGTTGAATTTTGTTAAAGGTATCTTGAACAAGTGTGAAGAAAATGCCTTAAAATTTCATTAGGGGTAAAATGTTATTTTCACTTATAATTAGTTGAAAAAGTGGGGAGTGAAAAGAGAAAGAATTTCATGGAGAAGTTAATAAAAATGAGGGCATTATTGTAATTAACTAAGGACATAGATGGGATTTCATAGAAAGTGCAAGGGCAAAATGGGAAAGTAGAAGTAATAAATGAGATATTTGGAGTTCATTCTTGAAAACTCTATCATTCTCTACTCCCTCACACGCCAATTTCATCTCCAAATTCTCTCATTTTCTTCATCAAATTTCCAAGGCAATTGAGAGGATTTTTGGTTGGATTTTGGTAGATATTCAATCCTAAGCATCCAAAGGTAAGAGTTCTTGCAATATGATGTGAGATTAATTTTTAAAGTGTTGAATTCTTATAGTTATATGCTTAGGGTTTAAGAAGAAGAGGAGATCTACCCAAAGAGAGAGTTTCTAGTGTGGAACTACCCAAGATCAAGGTAAGTAAATCCAACCCTAAGTTTGATTTGAGTAAGTTTGTAGAGATTTGTACATGTATGTATGTGCTTATGTTTTTGAGAAGTTTTGATGAGATTGATACTTGATGATAATTAAAATTCAGCCATGAGAATGTAGACTTTGCCTATATGGTGATTGATGGACGTTTGGTTGAATTTAGAAAGAGTTTGAGTAGACTTTATGGAGTGTAGTTTCCTGGCCAAGTTTAGTGTTGATTTAATGGAGTTTTGCTCCAAATATTGGTGGCTTGATAAAGAAGTAGAAGTGTAGCCAAATAGAGTTTGAGTATGCATGCAATTTGTTTGAAGAAAATCCTAAGAGAAAACATGTTACCATGGTTGCCCTGTCACAGCTGTGACCTTCTGAGTGATTTTTGGGCATCGTACCGATTGAACTGGGTTGAGACCTAAACATAAAGGTTGTACCCTGTCTCTAAGCTTTAAAACAAGACCAAGATCGTAGAAATCCGATGTGTATAACTTGAGATATGCCTTCTTGAATATGACTTGTGTAGAATGACTACCTTAAAATATTTTGTAGTCTAATAATCTATGATTGATTTCAAGTATGGGAATGTTGTTGGTAGAAAATACTAGTTCTCTAATGATATTTTTTATATGCCATAATGCATACTCACATTCTCACATTTGCATTTAGAAGGAATAGTAAAGAATGAGCATAGTTCCATGCAAATACACATGGATGAGAATAATAAAGAATAAAGAAAAAGAAAGAACATAATTAATTGTAAAAAAAATAAGAGAAGAGAAGGTTGTTGCGATGGGGAACTCGTGAGTGACAGAGAAGAATAGTCCCATATACATGCCACCTTCAATGAGCGGCCTCGGAATAAAAAAGAAGTAAGAGTACAGTTCGTTAGAAGTGTATGTGGATGAGAATTGTACCAACAAAATTTACCTACATGCACGCCGCCTTTAGTGAGCGGCCTCATAATCAGAAAGAAGAGTTGTACAGTCCGATAGAAGTGCATGTAGATGAGAACTGTACCCACTCACATGGCCAGGGTTCCGAATCCATGCCTCAACCGAGTCCGATCGGCATAGAAAGAAAAAACAGGGTAAAGATAATACCTGCAAGGTGATCTGCCAACGGATAATAGAAGGTACAGAGACAGACTTTAAAATAGTCAATGGGGCACTGATGTTTAGAGATAGAATATGTGTACCTCAAGATGATGAACTAAGGAATAAAATCCTTAGTGAGGCACACAATACACTTTATACAGCCCACCCTGTGAGTGTAAATATGTATCAAGTTGTGAAGAAAAGCTATTGGTGGTCAGGTATGAAAAACAACATTGCCGATTATGTTGCCAGATGTTTAACATGTCAACAAGTAAAGGCAGAGCATCAAAGACCATCAGGATTACTCCAACCCTTAGAAATTCCTAAATGGAAATGGGAGGATATCTCAAGGGACTTCATTGTGGGACTTCCTAAAGTTCAGCAAGGATATAATGCAATCTAGGTGGTAGTTGATAGATTGACCAAGACAACTCATTTTCTACCTATGACAGAAAAGATAGATGCATTTCGATTGTGGCAATTATATGTCAGAGAGATTGTGAGATTACATGGAGTACCCAAGACGATTGTGTCAGACAGAGATACCAGGTTCATATCAGCTTTTTGGGTTGGAATACAGAGAGCATTGGGTACAAAGTTAGCCTTCAGTACGACTTATCATCCTCAAACTGATGGCCAAACTAAAAGGACTAACCAGGTGATTGAAGATATGCTTAGAGCTTGTTGTATGGATCACAAAGCAAAATTGAGTGACGTACTTCCACTAATAGAATTTGGCTATAACAACAGCTACCAATTCACTATCCAGATGGCCCCATATGAAGCATTATATGGAAGAAGGTGCAGATCCCCTTTGTACTGGGATGATGTTGGAGAAAAAGACTCCTTGACTCAAGCAGTTGGACTAGAGATGACCTAAAAAATGATTGAAGATGTTAAGCTTATTAGAGAAAGAATGAAGCAAGCCCAAGATCGACAAAAGAGCTATGCCGAGCTAAAAAGAAAAGAAGTGGAATTCCAAGTGTGGGCTACAAAGTTTTTGTAAAAGTCGCACCTTATAAACATATTATGAGATTTGGAAAGAAGGGCAAGCTCACTCCACGTTACATTGGACCCTTTGAAGTATTGGAAAGGGTAGGCAAAGTAGCTTATAGACTTGCGCTACCAATGAGCATGGAAAGAGTCCATAATGTTTTCTATGTCTCTTTGTTGCATAAGTATGTTAGTGATCCTTCACATGTGCTTCAGATGGAGGAAGTGGAATTACAGGATATTTTGGCTTATGAGGAACGCCCAGTTCAAATCCTTGACAGAACGGTAAAAGAGCTCAGAAACAAGCAAATTCCACTAGTTAAAGTACTTTGGAGGAATTACAAGATAGAAGAAGCTACTTGGGAAATGGATTAAGATATGAGAAGTCGATATCCGGAGCTATTTCTATAATTTCGAGGACGAAATTATTGTAAGCGGGGAGGAAATGTAATACCCAAGATGTCAAAAGTATGTTCCTAATTAAAAATAGTCCTTTAGATGTCAATTTTATGTTAAAAAACATAAAATCTAACTAAGGACAAAATAGTCGATTCATTTGGAACGATATGAATCAATTATCCATAGAAAGGCATTAGGGGCGAAATGGTAATTTTCCTATGGATAAACATTGAAAAAGTCAAGGATGAGTAGGCTTCATTGCATTTAATGGCGTTAATTAAGTAATAATTTTGTCTAGTGTGAAATGACCAAAATGCCCTTATATGAAGAATTAAGGACTTATGAGTTATACAATTAAAATAATTGGGCCAATAGCATAATTTTGGAAAATAAATGAAATGTTTTCCTATAAATGAGATGAAATTCGTTCAAGCCAAGGGAGAGAGCATTTCTTCAACATTTCTTCCATTTTCTCTCAAATCTTCCATGAAACAAGCTTTCTTTCTCTAAGTTTTAAAGGAGTTTTGCTTATTTTTTCAAGGACAGCAAGATAGGAGCCTTTGATCTTCAATTTGAAGGTTAAGGTAAGGATTAAAAACTTTAGTTTTGATGTGATTTGAAGATTTGAAGTAGATGTTAAGGTATAATGTTATATATGTAGGATTAAGGTGTAAAAGAAGACAAAGGCAAAGGATTTGTTGGAGGAAGTCTTTAAAAAGGTAAGGAAGAACCTCCCATAACTTTAGGGTTTATGCTAGGGTTTGTAGATTTTTATGAAACCTTAAATTAAGGCTTTAAGGCATAGAATTAGTTGATGGCAAGTGTGGTTGAACTCATTTATTCTACTTATTGCCTTGAATTCATTATACATGAAGTTATTGCTATTTATGTTTTATGAGTTGTTATGTTTGATTGAAGAAAATGAAGTGTGGATGCTAATTGTGGCAAGACTTGTAGTATTGGAGGCCACATGGTGTTGAATGGTTGCTATTAGAAGTGTTGAGGTGGTGTTTGCATTAGCTTACAATATTGTAACAATAATGGATGATTATGGGAATGAGATTTTACACTTCCTTTAAGATGTTAAAGACTATTAAGGGAGGTTTATTTGATCCATAAGTTGACCTGTTGGTTAATTGTCAATGGGAATTGATGTGGCATAGTTAATATGAAAATTCGGATTTAGTAAGCTTAGGGGTTTTGTTAAACATGCTTCAGTATTTTTACCATAACTTGAGTTATAAAAATTGAAATGAGATGATTCTTGAAGCATTAGAAAGCTAAGTCACAGACCTATAACTTTTATGTTTATGCTAAGAGCCAATTCGTTTGAGAAATGGATGGAAAATGGCCTGAAGTAGAAACTAGTTATTAAGGTTTAAGATTTAACATGATCAATTCTTATGATTATGAATTGATTATTAATGTATTATTGTAATTATGCCATGCACTAAGGTTTACCCATTAGTTAGATGATATTTGAAAGATATACATGGTCATGATGTCAATGCATGATTAATGTTATGAAATGGCATGAAGATGCAATGTAATACATGTTTTAAGATGATGTATTTGAGCAAGAGGTAATGCAAATGGATTGATAATCCATAGATGAATTAAAGTATTAAGCTCACCAAAATATGTATTTACATGCCATAAGATGTTAGAGATGCATATAGACATGATGGGAAACACGTAAGCATATCCTCGTATACCAGTTGAGGAAAGATGAATATATGCTTTAGATGTTAAATAACGCGTAAGTATGCCTCTCGATGATATGAGCTCTAGATGAATTTGAGGCTAGATGATATGAAGTGCTTAAGACGCTAAGAAAAGTCCGATCGGCTACACGTTAAATGCTTCATATGCATTTAGTTGCACTACATGAGTTATGATGTTATTTACATCATGAGATGATTTATACTCATGTTAGATGATATTTAGATGTTATATCATGACATGTGATGTGTGTGTACTATGTTTACATACTTATTTGTACGTGTATGCATTGATGTTTATATAGCCATGGGATAAAATGATGAAAGAAATATGAAATAGAAAGGAAAAAAAAAAAAAAAAAAGGGAAGAATCCCTAGATGTAAAAGATAAGTGATGTGTTAACAAATATGTTTAAATAAAGGTCAAATAGCAATTTAGAATAAAACGGATCATTCCTTACTGAGCGATTAGCGCTCACCCTTTTATTGCAAATTGTTTTGCAGGTAGACCAAAAGCGAAGGATGCTAGAGATAGCAGGGCTACATGTGAGGGGAGATGATTTATTATCATCTCGATGTTTTTATCTTGATGTAAATAATGTAAATGATAAATATTTGTGAAACACCTTTTGGAATCTTCAACCCTATAAATATGTTTCGATTGTGTATTTTACGGATAAATTCTTAAAGTTTTGAAATTATATGTTTGGATCCTGCATGACATTTTATATGCATGTTTCAGATATTATTATTATTATTATTCTTACACGGGTTTTTTTTTTCTAAATACAACTCGTTATTTAAAAATGTATCCCCGGGATTCTCATTGAGTGATATTCAGAGGATACCTGATTGGAGGGAGGGTTTTGCATGAACAGTATTCGTGTCCGAAATCAGAGATATTTGAGGGAGCTTCCGAATGTACGTAACTAATCCTTGAATGGATTTACTTTATCCATATTTTGTTTATAAACATGTAAACGGTATAATCTATACTCGGATCTTGGCAAAGAAAAGTAATTGATTTACCGATTGAATGTTTTGTTTTTCCGCTGTGTATGGTAGATCAATTACTTACAGATTTGAGCAAGACTTGTATAGTATGATTCTTGCATGTTTGTATGTGAGAAGTATTGGCTGTTTTTTATGTTTAATGATGCATAATTTCTAGCCATGAGAAGTAGTGTATGAGTATGTGATGAATGGGTGGAATTATGGAAGAATTAGTGATGAGATTTTGAAGTGTAGAGAATTGTTGAAAATGGCCAGGTTTAATGCTAAAGTTAGTGAGTTTTTGGCTCAAGTTTTGATGGATTTAGAGAGATGTGGAAGTGTAGCCAACATGGTAGTTGTATGTCCATATGAAGTGTTTGATGAAAATCCAAAGAGAAAATGCATGCATGAGTTGGCTAAACCCTATTGAAGAAAGGGTTAGAGAAAGGCAAGAATTGAAGTAGGAAGATTATGTTGGGCCTAACCAAGTGTAAATGTTAGTATTCAAGGGTGCATATTGTTATGCCAAAATTTAGAATATCACTTGGTCATCTTAGTTCCATGAGAGAAATGGCCCTTAGTGCTTGGTTCTAGTTACTTGAACCTTTCCTACATTTTGAATAGCACATGAAAGTGTTAGAAAGGAATTGCAAGTTAAAGTGTTACTTTGATATGGCAATTGTGATAGTAGAGAATGGTAGAATATGTCATGACATACAATTATGCCATAATGAATTTTCAAGTTTGTATATGCGAACTTGGAAAGCATATTAAAGAATGGGCTTGATCATTCATATATTGTGCACATGATATACAAGCCTTGATTTAGTAAATGAGAATATGAAAGAATATGTTAGCAAAGAATGAGAAAAAGAAATAAAAGAGAATGGCTTGTAGTTTTCTTTTAAACTAACATGCAAGTATGTATATTTTCTCATTTGCTAAAGAATGCAAGTGTAGAATTTCCATAGCTTGGAAATTCATGTTGAAATGTGTATAGTATCTCTTTCTACAGCATGCTATGTTATAAGGTTGTTGCGATGGGGAACCCGTGAGTGACAAAGATGCCCACATGCATGCAGCCATCAGTAAGCAGCATCAGTAGAGAGATATAGTATTTGTATAGTCCATCAGTAGTGTATGTGGATGAGGACTGTACCCAGCAGAGCATACGTACAAGCATGCCGCCATCAATGAGCGGCCACAGTAGAGAGATACAACATTTGTACAGTCTGTCAACAGTGAATGTAGATGAGGATTGTACCCACTCATATGGCCAAGGTTCCAAATCCATTTATCAACCTAGTCCGATCGGCAAACCATAATAGAAGAAAGGAAAGAAAGAGAAGCAGAAAAGAAAAGAAAGAGATACGGCATGAGAGATAGAAAACACAAAAGAAAAGAAAGTTCTTTTCTCAGGAAAGTTTATTATTCTGCATATGTATTATGCTACTTACATGATTCAGTATTTCTTATGTGCTCGACGATGTACGATTTTATTCATTGTCTTTGCATGTTGATAAGTAGCAAATCAGAGTATCAGAAAAGAATGCAGAATATCAGAAAAGAATGAAGAATATTATCAAAGATTAAAGTGAGAAAAGGAAAATTAGAACAAGAGTAATGGAGGAAAAACAGTAATGCAGTTTGGTTTACTTACTAAGCAATTAGTGCTCACTTCGTTATTCTACTGTTTTACAGGTACTTGATGATTTACGATCGGGTGGGACGTCAAGAAGCGGAGGATTTTGGCGGCACTATCCAAGGCTACCTTGTACTATCAGTTAATTTTTTTATATGTTTATATAACTTAAAACTTTCGGATTTTACATTATATACCTCTATGTATATATATGTTTACAAAGTTATTTAGTGGATTTGATCATATATTTCTCAAAGAATTACTAGCTAGAGAGTATATTACACTCTTCTTCCTTAACCAAAATCACTTGAAATTGTTTTTTTCCACACTGGTGTCTAGGGGAGTACTTGGTGTCGCACTTGTAGCACAGCCCCTTCTCACTTTTTTTTTTTCTGGATTTTAGCTTCGGTCAATCTCTGGTAAGGAAAGTCTCGTCAATTGTAACTTGATCAGGAATTTTTCGTGGAGATAGAATTAGATTGGGGAGATGTGAAGGAGTTAGAATTAGAGTAGAGGGTGGAGTTAACATCACCTGTATTGTGTGTGTAGGGAGTGGAAGTCAGGTTAGGGGAGCTAGAGCTGTTGTAAGAAGATTGGGCTTTGTGGGTTTCTTCAATCTT